CCGGACGTTGCCCGGCGTCGTAGCGCAGCAGCTGGTGGAGGAGGTAGAAGCCAACGCTCATCGACGCCCCCATCCCGGGCGTCCCGATCACGAGGCGCCGCCGCAGGTCCAAGCATTGCTGCCCCGCAACGCCGAACGCCCCGCTTAGGTCGCCCTGGACGATCCGCCAAACACGATCTGCCTCACGGTTGACGTAGCAGTCCTTCATGTCTGTTCCCTCCTGCAGCAAATACGGCCAGCCCTTCTCCGAGGTGAGTACCATCAGCCTGGGGCGCGGTGCGGTGAATTGCCCCGCATGGCTCACCGACCGAAGAGTTGTGCCCTGCATCTTGTACTCCCACGACTGTGCTGGCGCTTGGCCCGCCTTCACCTCCATCCGCATCTCCACTTCGTCCTCCCCCTCGCCCTCGGGGAACCCCAAGACGTGGCTCCACCTCGCCTTGAGCACAGAGTCGTAGAAGCCCTCCGACAACGGCCGTCTGGCAACTTCCTTCACCCGCTTTGCCCTTTCGAGTACCTCCGCCACCTCAAGGGCGGCGTTGAGTTTTGACCTTGTAATAGCAGCAACGATGTCCTTCTGATGAAAGCCCTTCCAGCGTCGGAGATTACCCACCCTGTGCTCCATTAGCTTGATTACGTCCGCACGAAGCGTGTACTTCTGGCACGCTGGTGAATTAAGAATTCTTCGTAGGAGCCGCTCGTCCCTGATGTAGTGCTCAGGCCTACGCGCAAACACCCCCATCATCACATTGCGGCCTTCATCGAGCACGAAATCGGGATCAACGTACTTCCTGATGAAGTCTTTTAGCGTTATTTGTTCAGTAGCATCTACTCCCTCAAGCCGTAGCACTTCCTCCACGGTACTGTAAAGAGCCCACTGTGGTCCCGCAGGTGCCTCTTCCACCCCTCGGCGCTGTGCAGGGGGTTGATTGGAACCGCCGCCGTCGGACCCCGGCCACGCGTGCCGCCGCTGCGCATTAGTGGCGGGGCTCTCCGCGGCAGCGTGAGTTTCTTCTCCGCCTCTTTCAGTCATTGTTTCTTCAGTGTCTTTACTTTGTTGTAGGCGTTGTTGTCTTGCGCTGCGGCTGCACACCAACCACCAGCCAAAAGGAGAATGCAAGGGGGAAAGAGAAAAAAAAATGTGCACACAGACACACACCACCCCACGCAGCCACGCAGCAAGAGAGAGAGAAAGAGAGGGGGGCGCCCGCACGTTGTGGCACACGCATACACATCACACTTCAGCAGCCCGCGCAATGGGTGCAGTCAACCAACAAACACACAAAATAAAACAAAACCCGTGAAGTGAAGCCGAAGCGTGGGGGCGCGTCCACCGAGCAGCGGGGACGCGCAGCAACACGTGGGACGACCATGACACACTCCATCTCTCTCCCTCTGTCTGTTCCCACACAGCCCAATCCAGGAAGAGATAGAGAAAGAAGCAAGAGGTCGAAAAAAAAAGAAAACGAAAAAGCCCATGTATATTGAATACGGCAGCAAAGGCAGTCGTTCCCTGTCCCGCGGCGGAACAGTCACCGGCCCGTCCTCGCCCCCTTCAGAGTACAGTGACTTCCCCTTCCCCCGCGAACAGCACCAGGAGTGTGTATATATAGTTATGTGATGCCGGGATTTGTCTTCTTCGTACACATTATTGTTTTGTGCCCCCACACAGCTTCCACGCAAAGCAAGTCCGCCCAACACACAGATATCGGTTTTGCGGCCACTGGCAAGACAAGCAAAGCAAGAATTGTTATTTTCACCCCTTCAAAAAGCAAACAAGGGTAGCGCAGTGAGTGTGTGCATCATACTATTATTATTACTGCAGCGGCTTCATTGCGGCCTGAGGGCGGGGCTCCACGGGGGCACGCAGGTGCATGTGCATATATTCATTATTCCCCCGCCGCAACTTGTTGGCGCCCAGCCGCTGTTCCTGCTGCGGCTCAAGGCGGCAGCATCGCCACCGCGGCGGCCACGGCGAGCAGCACAAAGTGACTGCAGCCAACATCCGCAGCAGCCGCACCGGCGTCGCCTCCGAGTTGCTGCGCCGCCCCGTCAAGTTTCTTCAGCAAGTCGCTGCCGTTGGCGGATGCCGCCGGTGTCGGGGTGGGCGGCGCAGGCAAATCGGGGGCCGCAGCAGCTGCTCCCGCCGCTCCCGCCGCGTCGCTTTCTTTCGCGGCAACGGCTTCGTCCGGTGAGCGGGCAGCGGCAGCGGGGGGCGGCGAGGCAGCAGCGGAGTGGGCGGGACCGCCAGGCCCATTTGCTCGCTTCTGCGTCTCAGCAGCCGGCAATGTGCCGGGCCCAACCTCCGCCGCTGCCTTCGGATTGGAAAGATCGCCCCCCGCAGTTCCAGAAGACAACTCTGCACGCTGTGGCTCAAGTGCCGGAACCTCCTCCGCCTCCTCTTCCTCCTGCTCCGCTGCGTCTTCCTCCTGAGTCCCCTCGGCGTCTCCCTTCCCCTCCTCCTCCTCAACGCGCGGAGTGACGAGGCTGCTGCCGTTGGCGGCGATGGTGCACACCTCCTCGTACTTCGGGCACTTGAGCTTCCCGCCCTCCAGATGATCATTTGCCACCACCGTGACTTCCTTCCCCTCGGGGCACTCCACATACTCGGCGGCGCCGAGGTACTTCACCTTCACTGCGCCTCCCTCGCACAGCACCTGCGCGCACACACCCTCTATTTTCTTACCGCCGGCGTCACT